TCACCCTCACCTTCCTAGTTGCCTGGACCCTAGTTAGAACTTCCTTTTTCCCGAAAAAATCAGCACTTGGGGAACATCCTGTCGAGATGAGAAAGGAACAAGAAACAGGTGGTGCTGGGTGGTGAGAACGTCGCAGGCCTTTGGACTCACTGGTGACACTCTGCTTCCCACACCAAGCGCTGGGCTCCTACAGCTTTGGGACCAGGCAGGACAGGGGGCTCCCCAATGCGAAGATGGCCCCGAGTCTCAGATCCAGCAGCTTCAGGCTGGATTCCCCTTTTCCTGTAGCACTCACATGTCAGGCCAAGCTCCAAATATTTTCATATCAGCACTTTTGCAAAAGCTTGCTCTTATTCATTCAGCAACATTGAAATGTAATTTTCTGCCAAATGTTTTCTAGATTTTCCTTCTGAATTGTTGAGAATGGGTTTCAGTGTTCACTTTCTTTCCCCTTTAATATGTAACTTTAGACCCTGGGGGAGGCAGTATGCTAGCGATATATAACAGACTATGCCTTTTCTAAAGATTGATACAGCATCTAAAAGAGAAAGACGCAAAAATGGAGACTCGACAAACCCCTCCAGAGTGGACGAGTTTACTGGCGGAGAGAGCGAAGGTGGGGCCCTTACAGAGAACAGAGTAAGATCAGGAACGCGACATGGTGGGGCCGCAGGGGCCCAGGAGCAGGGGCTCTACCACCGGCTGGGCGACGCTGCCATGCTTGCCCCCGCCGCCCCCCTCCCCCCCCCATGAGCCAAGACTCCGGGAACAGGGCTCTAAACACAGCTTGCTTCCTGAGGTCTGGGCCACCAGTCCTAAAATCTGTGCGTGACTCACATTAGGAAACAATTCGGGGCGACACTGGCTAGGAAAGGATGCGCAAAAGGCTTCTCCAAGAACCAGCACCTGTGACCTTCCCTGGCTCCGTCAGCCCAGAGAGCCAGGTGCAAATGCTCCGGAAAGGGGGCACAGAGCTCAGCTGCTAGGCTCCACTTGGGCTCTGCAAGATCCAGTCGGCCCCCCTTGGTGAGTTCACTTCATACCTGTTGCCCCCTCCTGCGCTTCAGTTGCTTACTAAGTTACTTCAATCCAGAGGTCCTGTCAGCTAAAGAAACACCTTTCCCACCAAACATGGCAGTTTGTTTCAGGTTAGTACCTTCTTTCATCATCCCTGTCAGGTCAATGAAAAGCTGCGCGGAGGAGCAGGTGACAACCTGGGGCTGCTCTGGGTCCTGGTGCCGTTTGTGGCCTCTAGCCTGGAATGGTGCCCCTGAACAGACTGTTGCCCGCACCTGCACGGGGTCTCAGGAGTAGAAGCCAGGTGCCAGCTGTGGCCAGTGTCCCTGGGCCACCACCACGGCTTTCACCTTCCAGGGAGTTGAGGGGGCTGAGGTCCTCGGGTCGTTTGGCACTGATGGACTGGGGAACAGGGCATTTCTAGGTGTCACCTGTGCCTTCTGATAAGGGGAATACAGCAGCAGCAGAAGGGAGCTGTCTTAGAGCCTGGCTGTGGCTCGGTGCCCTGGTTCACTACAGTGTCAAGGCCAGCGGTTCCACTGGTTAGGGCAGGCCCACCAATGGGCAGGGCAGGGCAGAGCTGGGCTGGGCATTGTAGGAGGAGCTCAAAGACATAACAGCATTCTGTCGGGAGAGGAGGTAGTAACTAACAACTAGAACGAGGGTGGGGGAGGCTGAAAGTGACTGTGACCTAGCCCTACAAACAGGTGTCTGAAAGCTGTCAGTTAATTTCTGTATTCTTCACACAGTCCCTAAAAGATGCCCCCAATCTTCATGATGTTCAAGCACACACAAAATCGAGGTCACACCCCCAACTGGGCTGGACACGGCTGGTGAGAATCCCATAGCCTGGCTTTCCCTCCAACCTCCTGTCAACCTGACCCAGGACAGGGGCGGTATGGGAGCTGCAGGGCCCCTGCCTGCCAGGGCGACAAACCACCAAGGTGACCTGCTTAATGGTGACTTACTTGTGATGCCTTTATTAGGTGAAGAAGAGGGAATGTGGGAGAAGGAGAGAAAACCCTAAGGAGCCTCAGGGGCTGCCTGCAGCTTTGGAACTGTAAGGAGAAGCAGCTCCTTAAGGGGAGCGAGAGGGCTGCAGGTCAGGCCGGGCCGAAAGAAAATGAAACTTGAATTGCTGTGCTCTCAACCACCAATGCCCAGTCACCCCTGAATGGTCACGGGCGAAAGGGGGGCATGGTGGGCCCCGCACTCCTCTTCCCAGGACCAGATGGTACTGAGCTGATGGAGAGGCCAGCTCTTGACACTGGTTCCGGGAGTCACATTCCACTGGACTAAGTGTAATGCATAAAAAGCTAACCGACCAAAATGGACGGTGTCTCCACGACAAACTGGCCAGACGCTATACTTGCGTGGACAGGCATCCTTTGTGGGTGCCAGGAGTGCGAGGCCACTTCGGAGTCAGGAGCCTTATGTCCTTGAAGGAAGAGGGATCCTGAAGGACCTGCCCTGTCCTCCGACCCCCCTTCCCTTCCTGGGGAGGAGTCAGAAGTGAAGCCCAGAGGGTCAACAGCAGAGGGGGTCTGGTTGTGGGACTTGCTTTTGCAGCATAAGGAAATGGGTACAAAAATGCTACAAAGGCCAACTATGATTCTGCAAACAGAATGGGGGCAAACTCCCTTGCTTCTAACCATTCCGGAAGAGACAAATGCGTTTTTTTTTTAAGCTACTGATTGGAACTGTCAACTATGGTTCCTGATCACTAAGGACTGGCAAGGAAGTGCTAGACGGTTTTTAGGATGTTTCACTCCTTCATGGTTACACTGCAGTAAGGAAGCCAGGGGACAATAACTGAAATACACGAGACAACACGCACTTGACAGTTCATGGCAGCAGCTCGCATGGGACGTGCTTGTGGGTGTTTCTGGAAGCATAAGACTGCTGTCTCATTTGCTACTTTGATAAGGTACTTCTCAGTTGGACAGATTTAGATATAAGAGACATCTCTGTAAACACAGAAAAGGATATACCAATATGATGAAGATATGCAGCTAGATAAGGACTTCCTGAACACAGAATGAAAGGATGGGGTCCTAAATGGAGATTGATCAATGAACACCCATAGCAAAGCCAAGCCTCTCGGCCCCCACACCATTCCCCTGGCATAGATGTGGAGATGTGTGATATGCCGGCCCCACCCGGTCTCCAGCAAGCAAAAGCCAGACATTTTCCATAAGAAAAGAACTCATGGTTAACTTAAGGGAGGAGCAGAGGGGCCAGGGGCCTAGGCACTGGTCCAGCTCAGGTCTGGGGCATCTGCATTTCTTCCCACCTGCTGCCTCGTTGCACCACACTGTGCTAGCTGGGCCTGGCCAAGGCCAAGGTCAGAGCCAGACTACTTGATGACTACGGCAGGCCATGGGGGCCTCTGCGCTACCCTCAGCTCCCAAGTCCAAATCTGTCCAACTTCTCCTGCCTGCTTCTCTCGAGTAGGTTGAGAAGGCCCAGAATCAGGGTCTGACCAGGGAAGGGAGCTCCCTAAGAGAACAGGATATTGCTGCTCTCTTGCCCCTCAGAGAGGCCAAGTTGCTAGGGCCAGGTGGACTCAGCAGAGCCCGGGGCTTCTTCAGGGCTCAGAATGGGGGTGTGGCTAGGGCTAGGGCTGGCAGTGGGAAGGCCAAGGGCAGGGTGAAATCTGGGGGCCTGAGCTGACCAGCATCAGCTCAGGTAAAGCTGGGAACTGTGGGTGCCTGGTACAGAAGGGATGAACGAGGAGGGGAAGAAATGAAAGGATGAATGAAAGAAGGCAGAAATGGAAGGACAGAAGAGAAACCAATCAGGAAGTCCTTATAAAATTGCAGCAAACACTTAGAGTTTCGGAGCTTCGTGGGAACCCTATGTGCTGAGCCCACTTTAAAACAAGCGCAGGTATATACAGATCCAGGTAGTTCTAAACACCGTCATGTCTGGTGGCTTGAGGGACAAAGTGTCACCAATTCAAGCCAGTTTGCTCTCAGAGCATGTTTGTTTTGAAGTGGGAACATGAAGACTCAATAGTGCAAATAGTTCTAAGCTGTCCCTAAAGGAGTAGAATTGGAAAGTTTTGGAAGAACATTTTCCCCTCCTTCCCCCTTGGCCCCCCAACCTGTGCACTAGGCCTCTACCTACCAGTCACAGACTGCTCTGAGCGACTAGGAATTCCATCGGCCCCACTGCTCTCTGCCACCCGGAGGAGCCCAGGAGCCCAGGGCCAGCCTGCCTGCGCCTCATCCTGCTGCTTCCACGGCCTCTCTCTCTCTCTCTCTAGCGCCACCCACTGGATAACGGCCCCGGGCTGTCCTCTCACCTGGTCACCTGACTCAGGCCAGTCTACACCCAGCAGCTCAAAGGACTGACTCCCTCCTAGCCATGCCAGAACTGGAGCGGACAGGTGCTACCTCCCTGTCCTGTGAAATGTCCTAGTCGGTTTTGGATTGGGGCTGGTGTGGGGCCAGATTTGTGCCACCATGGGTGAGATCACACAGGCTGTAGCCACTGGCCATCTCTGTCTTTTTCTCTAAAGAATCCAACTGTCTCTCCTGCCTCACACCTCCTTGTCCCAATGTGGGTGGGGATGGGGGAGGTGGGGGAGCTGGAGGGTGGGGGTGGCGCAGGGTGGGGGGAGAGGAGAGCGGAGACTGGGGCACCAATGGCACTCTCTGTCCCTAATGACCACATGGGGGGGCGTGGGGGGGAGGTCTGGGTGGGAGGGGAGGTGCAGGCATACCCTAAGAAGCCTGGTCAACAGCTTGTCTGGTCAGTAGTATCTGCAGCAAGCCTTGTTGAAGGAGCCTAGTTTAGAAAAGTGCAAAGCTACTTCTGGCCCTGGTTAGGTCTTCAACCTGACTGTGCTTGTCGGTAAGAAAAACATCCCAATGCTCCAACTACTCCCACCCTGAAGCCACGAAACTCTAAGTTTACTGAAAGAAAAAAAAATATTTTTTATTTCAGTTAATCGGGAAGCTTTGTCAGAGCCCTACCCATAAGGAGAAGAGACAACAGCTGCCTTTATTCTTGTTGGTTTGCTTTGCAATCCGCTCTGTGTAAAGTCAGCTAACTCTCTCGGTCACGGGCGTCCGGCTGTCCACAGGCTCCTCTCTGTTTGGCCTTGGCATGGAGGATGAAACAATGTCTTTGCGCTCTCCCTCCCCTCGGTGTTTGTACTTGTCTGCGGCCGTGGCGGCGGTCGCGACCGTGGGCTGAGTCTTAGCTGGCTCCTTGGGGCAGCCGTCGCTCTCCAGCGAGCCTCCTCTCGCCATCTTCTCCTCTTTGCAGACGCCGCTGCTCAAGTCCTGGGGCTCAGGGGGGCTGGCGGGGTCCTCGGAGCTCTGGGGCTCGGGTGGGGGCGGGGGTGGGGGTGGAAGCAGCGGCGCGGGTGCCTTCGGGGGCTCTGAGTGGTGGTGATGGTGGTGGTGCTCCTTCTTGGGGGGTGAGGAGGCGCTGCCGCTGCGCCCCTTGGGGCTGCTCTCCTTGCTTTTCCGCCCGGGGCTCTTGCAGGTCTTCAGTCCCTTCCCACTCTTCTCGCCGAGGGTGGACACCAGCAGGGGCTTCACCACCTCCTTCACCTCGATGCTGACGGTCTCCCGGGTCTTGCGCTTCTTGATGGGGAGCACGGTCTCCTGCACGGACCGGATGGAAGACTCCTTCACTGCTTTCTTCTTGGCCTCTGCGGCAGCGGCTGCCACCACACTGCCCGGCTTTCGGCCCCGCTTCTTGGGAATGGCCTGGGGGTCGGCCTCGGCTTTTCGCTTCCTGCCAGGGCGTTTGATAACCATGACCTGGGCTGACGTGGTGGCCCCGCCGCCCCCTTCGGCCTTGCTCCCCGGTGAAGCTTGAAAAGGCATCTTGACGAGCAGCTTCCCGGGACTTTTCTCCAGGACCCTTTTCACCTGCACACCCTCTGATGCTGCTGCCTTGGGTCTCGCAGTGCCGCTCCCTTTGGGGCGTCCCCGACCTCTGCCAGTTCCTGGAGCTTTGGGAGATTTGGGCTTCTTAGGTGGTTTCTGCTCTCGCCGGGAGGGGCTCCCTCTCCCAGTTACCGTGAAGTCAAAATCATTAGGGTCCAGGGAGGTGTCGCCTACCTTTTCGAAGTACGCAATCAACTCCACTTTAGAGCGAAAGGCTTTTCCCTGGGGACTGTGGGAAAAAATGGAGAGACACAAAGAACGATTAGAAGCTTCCACGCTAATGTACAAAGATGGGGCAGAGCAGAAGGTGGTGAACTCTGGGACAGGACGTTCTGCAACTGACCTGCCTGATGATACCACTGAATGAGAGTCACAGTAGAGAAAAGCCAAAACAGGCTAAAACTAGAGGGGCACGGCCACAGCCACACGTGAAGCAGTCGGGTTGCTGGGCGGCGGTGGCGGGCACCTAGAGGGTGTGCTCGCTCCAGTGACAGCCGTTGCCCGGATGCCCCTGAGGGTCCGCCTACCACCAAGGCCCCTCCTCTGGCCCCCAAAGGGCCTGGCCTGGGGACCCTCTTGAGCCATCAGGATGGGGGGCCCATTCTGCTGGCTGGTGCCTGGGCCCACTCAGGAAGTAGAGCACTCCTCTGTCTGAACCTGGGCATGCTGCTTAGCCTCTCTGGGATCGGTTTCCTCATCTGTCAATAGGATAATGCTTTGCTCACCCTTGTCAGAGTTGTTGGAATCAAACGAGGTTGTCTGCAAATGTCCTTCCAAAACTGTTAACCTTTTCTGGATCATCTAAGGGCCAGAACTAAAATGTACTTATTCAGTCCTCCTCTGAAGCTCTGGCTTGGAAGTTACTCTGTTTGAACAGAAAATGCCCAACGACCAGCCCAAAGCTGGACAAATGCACCAATGACAGCTGGAAAGGCATGTGTCTTTCCCGAGGCCCTGTCAGAGAGCCCAACCTTTCCCAACATGATTCACAGAGTGGACTGAGCCCTATGAATTCCTACTTCTTCTGGGTCATGAAGCCATGTCACAGAATAACTCACAGAAAGGAGTTTTAACTGGTTTTGAGAAGAGCCCCTCAGCTGGATGTTTTCCAGCGGGTATAATGGGAGGAACCCAGAGAGCTCTGCTTGCCTTCCAAGCGCAGGCCACGACACATGGCAGGTCCTGTGGCCTCTGGGCCCAGCCTGGGCAGGGCCTTGTGTCCTGTTTCCCAGGTGACCTCTCCTGGTCTCCTCACTGTGGCCCTGGGTAGGCCCTACTGCTATGCTACCTCCAGACAACACCTGAAGGGCTGGTGGAGTAAAATCACACTCTGCTATACCCTGTGTACATCTCACTCACGGCAGTGACCTCTGTACACAGTCATTTCCAAACATACCTGGTGGGGTCTGCAAGTGGTCTACCAAAGCCCTCCCAACCCAAGGTGGGGTTATGCACACACATTTTCCTGATCAACAAGTAACAAAGAGCCGCCACTCTAAAGGATTCCCATTAGTTTCTTAGCACCTGTCCCCAACCTCCTGCCCACCCAGCCTTCCCTGCTCTGTAGAGACAGGAGTTGCCCTTACTTACTTGATCAAATACACATCATACTTCCCAGCGGAGCGGCCAGATTTCCTTTGCTTAAGCTTTCGGGTCCAACCTTCAGGCAGAGTGGGGTCATCATACATGGGTCCCCGGTCACGAATGATGGAGCGCCGCTGTTTGGGGGAGGCAGAAGCTTCTGGGACAGCTGGGGCTGAGCCTGACCCTTCTGAGGTCTCTGCTTTGCCTGCCTCTGCTGGTTCAGCAGAGTGGTGAGCCGGTGGTTGCAGGGGCTCATGCTTGCCCTCTTTGTCTTCTTTCTTATCCTTCTTCACCTTTTTAAACTTCAGGGGTTTGTCCTTGAGGCCCTGGAGATCCTGGTCTTCTGACTTTTCTTCCCTGAAGTGTTAAATAAGTATGTAAGTATCACAGGAACACACTGATTTGTAGAAAAAGTGAGCAATGGCAGGTTTGGGGCACCCCAGCACAGGTAGGGCTCTGAGAGACAGGGCTGCCCCGCCAATGCTCACCCAGATTTTGATGCCTTTCCCCTACCTGTCCTGTGACCACTCTGACTCCTTCTGTCCCAAGTCCCATTCCTCTAACATACAGGAGAGTGAGCGGCCTGTACAGGTGGTATTTTTCTGGGCAGAAACACCATGTGGCTTCTTAGTGCAGTGTCTTGGAAGAGGCCACTTTATAAGCTGTGCCCGAGAGCCTCTAGGCTTGATGGCTAACAAGAGGCCCTTGACTGCTGGAGAGGGAGCTGCCCACCCAAAATGTGGGCAGGGCTACTCTTCATGAAGACCTGGCTTGGGCATTACTATAGGTTCTGTATTTTAAGTTTTCTCAAATGTGTATTTGATAAAAACCAGTCATGGGGCACAATACAACTTACTGACAGTAACAGAGCCTAGCACTACCCTCTTGGGGAGGTGGTGCACAGCACAGTGCTGTGGAAAGAACATGCAGGTTTTGAACCAGCCAACCTGAGCTCAAATCCTGACTTTGCAATTTCTAAACATGGGCCCGAGCAAGTGACCTCAACGTCCCGTGTCTTAGTTTCCTCATCTTGACAATAGGTACCAACACCCCAGAGGGAGAAAAGTCACAATGGCACTATAAAACACTGGCCAACTCGGGCAACCAGAAACTGCTGCCCAGGGTTCTGGGAGTGAGAAGAGAAGCCATCCCAGGTCTGGTAAACTTTTATCACCAGACATTCCCTTACAACACATGACCACCTCAGACTCAACCAATGGAAGGGAAGAGCAAGGAGTGCAAAGGTGCAGAAGAGCACCCTCCCCATTCCAGGGCAGGCGCCTCCCCATTCTTTCACACTGACAGAGCAGCTCCTTCCCTATATTTTGGCTCCACCTGGTAGGGTCCCTTCCTTGTGTACATCGGAAATGATCACCATGACGCCCTGGACCCTGGAATCAGAGTCTGGCCATGATGTTCTTGGGGCAGGGCTAAGAGGGCAGAAACAACCCGGGGGAGGCTTGGAATCGGCCATCTGCTGGTCTCTCGGTGATTCATTCTAGAAAAGAATAGTATCTCAGCCCTAGAACTGTCCTGTCCCACAAGGCTCGTGTCAGCACTGGTCACTACCTCACGGCCGGTCTACCCCAAGCAACCTCTCCCTTGTTCAGACTGTGGAGATTCCAATGAAGGCACTGTGGTGTGCACTGGTAACCAGACTCAAATGACGTGGGTAAGCTGCCAAAGGTGGGTTTGTATCAGGACACACTTGGCACCATGAAGACAGGCCTTTTCTAAACAGCTCGGGTCAGGGGTCGAGAGACAGGCTTGCCCCTGAGTTCCTCCCTATCCTGGGTTGTCCTCTAGCAGTTCAGGGCTTTAAGCACGGCTGCCAGGGTCACCCTGATCCAGCCCATGGCCCATAGGAGATCTTTTCTTGCTGTAAAGTGAGGGTCTCTAATCTGTTGCAGCACAGAGCATAGTTTTCAATCCTCGCAGTCTTAGCTCCTCAGCAGGAAATGAGGAAGAATCCTGGGAAGCTAGGTGTGGCCTGTGACCTGCATGCCCCCATCACAGAGGGGAAAAGGGGAGCTTGCCAGTGGCAGAGTGGCAGATGGACTGGAACGACCACTTCCACACAGTCCACCACAAGGGCACTGCTGAAGGCCAGGGCTGCTCCCTGGAACCTGGATAGTCCTGGAGTCAGAGGACAACACTGCACCCATGGGAAAGGTCTGGCTTCTTCAGAATGCTCATTTATATTCCCCAAATGGCTTAATCACCATGAGGTCAAGTACAAAACTACATGCCCTGGCAATGCATCTTATATATATAAACAAGGGTATCAATGCCATCAAAAGCAATCCCTTCTAGAACTCTACCCTAAAGAGGCACCCCCCAAAATGCAAAACAACAGGTGTATGATGTTATTTGTAATGGCATTATTTTTCCTGCCCCAATACTGCAGACAACTCAGAGAGCTGCCAGCAAGGACATGCGGAATGAATGGACGACACTACGCCTATAGCATGGAGAGCCATGCAGCTGAAGAGAGCTGTCAAAGAGCACCTCTGGATCTCCTATGGATCGTAGGCTGCCTTTTATGTGAGAAACAAGGAAAGAAGTGCTTCCTAGTCCCAGGGTGGGTGGGAATGAGGTAAAGTATAGGCGCGAGACAAAACCCCTCTGAATCATGTAAAAGTTTACATAACCAAAATGAAAACAAAAATAAGTGATAACAAAACGTTACTATATTGAATGCAAACACAAACACATGAATTTAACTGTATATCAAATTGATACCATACCACAGAGAAAAGATTTATTTCAAATATCTCTGACCACAGTGCTCTGGCACATCCTTGGTGGGACATATTCTAAGGCCTAATACGGCACCCCAGGGGCAGGGAACGCACCCAATGTCCACAGAGGGAGCCAGGCTGGTCCTGGGAGAAGTGGGTGGTTGTGGTTCTCCAGTGGCCTGTGGGGGCAGAAAAGCAGGAGAGTGCTTGGACGGAGAAAGGGAAAGTCAAAGGACACAGTTGCTGGTCTGGCCGAAAGGGCTCCTTGCACTAGGTGACACTGTGACAAGGCGAGTGTCCAAAAGAACAAACTGACTGGAACACAATGAGGGACAAAAGAGGGAAAAGCCTATAGGAAGCAAGGGAGCAAGCCATGTGGCTACGTGCCAGAAGGTTCTGGGCAGCAGAGAGGCCTCAAGGGGGATGTGGAAGGCTGTCAGGTTGCTTTTGGGGAGCCTCGGGCAGGGGAAGGGATGAGGGCTCTTATCTTACAAGGATCATTCTACTTGCCGTGCGGAGAGCGGACTTCAGGAAGCCACGTTCATATATTCTGGAGCTGGGAGGATCCCCAGAAAAACCACCCTTCCAACTCTTCAGTGTTACAGATGAAAAGAAAAGGAAGTACACAAAATTCCCTTGTGTGGTTGGGGAACTTGTCTGAGGTCACAGTTGAGTTGATGAATGTTCATCAACCACCCTTGCCCTGAGCCAGACTCTGCTAGGGGCTGGAACAACAGGGCAGAATTATCAGCATTTGGTTTTCAAGAGCCCCCAGTTTAGTCAGGGGGACAAGAAGTAACAAAAAAATACTGACACCCTTCCCTGTTCCAGGCACAGGGGAAGCCCAGAGATGGGGATTTCCTGGAGGAGGAAGGCTTGAGCTGGGTTTCCAGGGCTGAGGAGTTCTACTGGCTGGCAAGGAGGGCTCAAGACAGGCCAGTGATAGTAGGCAGTGATATCAATAGCTCCATCCCTAGAGAGAGGAGTGACTAATGACTCCTACCCTGTGTCACCAATGGCTCTGGGCTGGCCCTCTCTCCTGTCTTCTTTTGGGTTAAGATGGCACTTCTGAGGAGCATTCCCTGCTCCTGCCTTCCCCAATCCCATGAGCAAGAGTGCCCTAGGCCCCCCAGTGTGGTTGGAATACACCACTACATAGGTCAGCCCCCGCCCCCCCAACAGTGCGTGCCTTCTTTATTGTTGTCCCTCCACCTGACGCACAGTGCCAGGCACAGGAGTGCCAAGTGACGATCACAACCTAGAGGCTGTACTACCTTTGCTTCTTTTGATGACTGTATCCCTCTGACCAACAGGTTTGAGGAGCAGGGGCTAGCTTAGCACCCAAAGCAGGCACGGTCTGAGTAAGTGAATAAAGGATGAGTTTGGGTGCTACCGTAGCCTCCTGAGCACTGGTGGGCTGGGCTGGCAGGAGACGAGGCTGGGGCAGTTAAGTGAGGGCCTGGGAGAACAGGCAGTGACAGTGTGTGGTGACAGGGAGGGCAGGGTTGTGGGGGTAGCAGTATGGAGGATGGCTATGCTGGGAGGACAGGCTCCAGGCTTCCACGGATCAGCATCAGGTCTGCAGACACTCCTCCTGTGGAAACTACAAAAAAAATGCTAGACTGAACATCTTCTAGAAGATATTACAGAAGATGCTGTTTAAAAGTTTTACTTGGGGGCACCTGGGTGGCTCAGTCGGTTAAGCGTCTGCCTTCGGCTCAGGTCATGATCCCAAGGTCCTGGGATGGAGCCCTACGATGGGCTCCCTGCTCACCGGGGAGCCCACTTCTCCCTCTCCCTCTGCTGTTCCCCCTGCTTGTGTTCCCTCTCTCGCTGTCTCTCTGTCAAATAAATAAAATCTTAAAAAAAAAAAGTTTTCCTTACACTGGTAAGCTGGTGGAAAAGTAAGGAATATACAGTTTAAAGAGTAAGGGAAGGAAGGTAGGGGATCCTGTTCTATGGATAAATCTGGCAAGTGTCCCGTTAACAAGTGATCAAACTGAGCATCAGCACTGTCCCATCCTGTAAGAATGGGTAACTGAGGCCATAAGGAAACAACTGGAAGATTCCAAAGAGAAGGGCATTCCACCCAACTTTGAGTCTGGACTCTTCAAACTGCGGCCTGAAGAAAAGGTTTGGGAACTGCTCCTAGTTAAATAGGACAGCAGAAGGCAACATGCAATCCTGTACTGGCTCCTGGTTTGAAGGCACTGAAGGGGTGCTCATGGGCCGTTTGGGGAATGTAAGTATGGTTCACGCTAGCACGGTGCCAAGCTCCTTGAGGTTCAAAAGTGTACTGTATGCCCGCAGGAAAGCCAGGTTCAAGCAGCACTTCTGAGTGCAATGTGGCAACAGTGACTCAGGGAAACATATGCAGTACTAATGTGGCAGCATGTTTTGAAAAGGGGGGGATGACAATGTAACTGGAAGCTGTGCGGGTTGACAGTGATATTTTGAAGCAGTTTCGGGCAAGTTTTCTAACAATTAAAGAGAACACCTTCACATTACACGAATACATTAGGAGGGAAAGCTGGAAACCTTGTTGAAGGGCCTTCTTTTAGTGGCTCAAAGACCCACAATGTTTTCCACAGCGTTACGCTCTATATGGTGAAGCTG